GAACCCTGACCGTCCATCCGTCCGTTTTCTTCCTCTTATCTGGGCTCTACTCTGAGTCCCTCCTGGATGATAGAGCTTCTCACCCTATCTCTAAGGGAGAGCCCAGACACCCTGCAGAGGAAACTCATTTCAGCTGCTTGGATCTGTCATCTCCTTCTTTCAGTCACTACCCAAAGCTCCTGACCATAGATGAGGGTAGGAACGTAGACCGACTGGTAAACTGAGAGCTTCACCTTCTGGCTCAGCTCTCTCTTCACCACCACAGACCGGTACAACTCCCACATCACTGCAGACACAGCACCAATCCACCTGTTGATCTCCTGCTCCATTCTTCCCTCATTCATGAACAAGACCCTGAGATACTTGAACTCCTCCACTTGGGGCAGGACCTCCTCCCCGACCAGGAGGAGGCATCCTACTCTTTTCTGGCTCAAGACCATGGTCTGGGATTTGGAGGCACTGATCCTCATCCCATCTGTGAACCGCTCCAGTGAGAGCTGGAGATCAGGATCTGATGAAGCCAACAGGACCACATCATCCACAAAAAGCAGAGATGTGATCCTAAGGTCACCAAAAAGGATCCCCTCAACACCTTGGCTGCTCCTAGAAATTCTGTCCGGAAAAGTTATGAACAGAATCAGTGACAAAGGACAACCTTGGTGGAGTCCAACTCTCACCTGAAACAAGTCTGACTTATTACCAGCAATGTGGACCAAGCTCTGGCACCGGTCCTACAGGGACCTAACAGCCTGAATCAATGGGCCTGGTAGCCCATACTCCCGGACTACCCCCCACAGGAGTCCCAAAGGGACACGGTCGAACATCTTCTCCAAATCCACAAAATACATGTAGACTGGTTGAACTCCCATGAACCCTCAGGACCCTGCTGAGGGTGTAGAGCTGGTCCAGTCTTCCAGGACCTGGACAAAAACCACACTGCTCTTCCTGAATCTGAGAGTCAACTATCTGAAGGACCCTCCTCTCCAGAACCCCCGAACAGACCTTACCAGGGAGGCTCAGAAGTGTGATCCCCCTATAGCTGGAACACACACTGCGGTCCCCCTTTTTAAATAAAGGGACCACCACCCTCGTCTGCCAATCCAGGGGAACTGCCCCAGATGTCCATGCGATGTTGTAGAGTCGCATCAACCAACATAAGCCCACAACATCCAGAGTCTTAAGGAACTCCAGGCGTATCTCATCTACTCCTGGTGCCTGGTCCCAATTGGTGTCAATACCATTGTTGACCTCTCCAAACTCCTCCCATGCCCGAGTTTTTGCCTCAGCATCCATCTGAGCCACAATCAGCTTGGAATGACGGTACCCATCAGCTGCTTATGGATGTCCCACAGGCCAATCAGACCTGAAAGGCCACCTTCTTCAGCCTCACTGCATCCCTCACCATTGCCGTCTACCAGCAGGTTCAAGGGTTGTCTCCACGACAGGCACTGGACTCAGTGTCCCCCACCTCCCCCGGAAGGTGTTCAAAGTTCTCCTGGAGGTGTGACTTAAAGCTCAGTCTGACGGGAGACTGACAGACATTCCCAGCAGACCCTCACTTTACATTTGGGTCTGCCAGGTCTGACTGGCATCCTCCCCCACCAACGGAGCCAACTCTGGTTCAGATCAGGGGGGCCGTTCCTCCCAACCACATCTCTCCAGGTCTCACTGTCATTACCCACATGAGCGTTGAAGTCCCCCAGCAGAAAGAGGGAGTCCCTGTTAGGAGCGCTCTCCAGCACCTCCTCCGAGGACTCCAGAAAGGGTGGGTAATATGAACTGTTGTTAGGCTCAAAGACACAAACAACAGTCAGAACTCGTCCTCCCACATATAGGCGGAGGGAGGCTACCCTCTCGTTCAGCGGGGTGAACCCCAGCGTACAGGCACCTAGATGGAGGACAATAAGTATGCCCACTCCTGCTCGGTGCCTCTCAGCATGGGCAACTCCAGAGTGGAAGAGTTACTTCCACCAGAGGGGTTGGACACCCCTCTGGTGGAGACTGGTTACATGACTGAATGACAAAAATAATCTGAGACAGTTCATCACCTTAATGTTTCACCTGTTTCAGCGTGATGAACACATCTGTTTGTTTCTTGTCTGCAGACTCCAGATAGAGAACACAGTGAGGAAGAAGAGATCACTGTCCTCTGATGAAGATGGACCTGAAGCTTCAGATGTTTTGTTCTCTTTTAATCTTTGAATGGATCAGACTTTTTCCCGACCATCAAACTGTTTTGTACTTATTTATTGTAACATTTGGGCTTTATGGTGAAATACTTTTTTTCTTTTTAAACCTTTACTGTTTAAAAACCATCTGAATAAAGTTCAGGAAAGATACTCAGGCTTTTACTCTGAGAATAAAATATAATCTTCAGTCTGACTGTGTTTGCAGCTGTTCTCCAGTAGATGGCGATGTTACTTTAAACACTGAATCATTCTTACTGGAACAAAACCTACGGTTTTAAATCCAGCTTCCTTGAAACAGAAACATGAGTCTGTTCTGGACCTATTGGTTCTGGTAAGCCTCAGGAGTTCCAAGACACATCTGCACACGGACACACACACACACACACACACACACACACACACACACACACA